AAAGGAACTAGAGAATCTCAGAACAAGGCGCAAACCGCTCGAAAGATACTAGAGAATTTCGAAAGCGACTAGAGAATTTGAAAACAAGGGGGAGCAAACCGCTCGAAAGACACTGAGAACTTGTCAACAAGGGGCAAACCGAAAGGAACTTGAGAATTTCAGAAGAAGGAGCACGAGGCAGACTAGCATCGATGGTGGAAGGTTGCCGGGTGTAAACAGCACACATTGAAGTGCCAGTACCAGAAGCGGGCACGTTGAGAGTGGTTTGCAGGGATTTCTTCGGAAAGTCCACAGTCATAGCTAAAAATCCTGCACCCTGGCCATGAGATGGGCCGGATGCTGTACACCTGTAGTCAAGCGCAGAGGCAGCCATGGGCTGGACTTCATTGTCCCGGTCATGCCAACACACATACAATAGGAAGAAGATAGGTGCTCTTCAACAAGGATCCAGTTTGCAGCCTTCAGAACAAAGAATTACATTGGCCAAGCAGGATATCGCTGTGTTCAAATCTCCCAAAGGCGTCGAGACAGAAACAAGGCCTGGGCAGTCAACATTGCTGAGGTCAATCTCGTTGGTCTCGCCCGGCAGGTACTCCTCGGCTGTAAAGCACAAGCATCAGTCAAACTGTCTTGGAGGTTGGCCAGAACCTCTGTATTTCTAGTAGCTGCCTTCCGTCTGTGGGTCAGCGGGTCCGGAGCTTTAAGAACAGCTCTCGTATCGGGGATGAATAAGTGCAGGGGAACACAGAAAAGTATGAGCCAAAGAAGGCCTGCAGTCACAATAGAGGCACCAACCTTTGTTGTGCCCGCCAAGCCGCCGGAGGAACCAACCAAAGCTTGTCATCCTGTCTCTGGGGACAGGTTGCCCGTGTCGTCATTATTGCCATTTTTGCATGCTCCTTTTCTTCCTGCTGCTATGTGACGACTGCGATGTGTATCAAACGCAACCTTGCAGTTTGCTCACTGTTGCTCCTATCACCAGCCTGATCACCCCCTTCGTCTTAGTTACCATTGCAGCCTGCCTATTCTAAGGAGGGGTCTCTCGCCAATCGCAGGGTCTTAGCGCCCTGAGGCTCTGGGCAGGGCTGCACAAAAAGCCTGCGAGGTCCAAGTGGTGAAGAGTTTTGCCCGGGCTCGTCAAGGTCCCCCACAGAAGCAAACACTGCGCTGACGCTGTGATGGAAGACTGAATGTGGTCGTTTGTGGTACTCGGTTCAATAGTGATCGTGGTGATGCTTCGCTACGTCTGAATGTGTCGCAACATCAACAAGACTACGAACACATCCTGCAACACGACGACGATCGTCGCCGGCGACGACTACGACCACCACTTGTAGTCCTGACTCTGGCATCGTATGTCAGCGATAATCAGCGACATTAAACATGCTGGAGGCATGAACACACATATTGCGAAGCAGAAGCTAAAGGTGATAATGACAACACCAACAATGTAGAACAGCAGCCAATCACACGAGTAAGAGAAATCCGAAGAGTGCTCGAACATACGAAGCACGAAAATCATGACAATGGCAGCAAAACCACAATCCCAAGGCAAAACAGCTGGTGTGAAGCAGCCATCGCCATTTCCACAGAAACAACCGGATCCATGATGGCAAAGACCGTCAAGCATGGTGACATCAGCAACCCCCCGGCGTGCGACAGCACCTTGCATAGAGACTCACCATGCCTCCCATCACTTGACACCACTCTGCCATCGCCAAGCTTGCTCTGATGGTTGATGGTGAGACCTAATCTTGTCATCGGCCATAGTGCTGCTAGTGCAAGTCTGTTGCCTGAGCGTGCGGTCCAAATAAGAGCCTCTGACTTCTTCTTCGCTCCCATGACAGAAGATAGCATTCGTAATAGCAGGACCAATTTGGAAGAGTATTGACCAGCCTCCTCCATGCAGCATGCGGTGGAGACCGTCCGCTGGAGCTTCGTTAAGCCTAGGTCTACTGCTGTCAGTTCAAGGTGCAGGGTGCATGAACCCTAAACGGTTCGGACTCTGCGATGCGGAATGTGCGCTTTGAATCCCGGGTTGCGGGCCCCAGAACACAAGGAAATGCGTGCCAAAGCTGCGCAGATGTCGTTGCTTCATGCACTTGTGGAACTTACAGCTTGTAAAGGGCCATGGACAAGACGCACGCCGATCTGCCGATCCCAACTACGCAACCATGGGCTACCTCCCCGAAGAGAGCCAAGCATCACTCATTCTTGGAAAGGGTGTAACGCCTTTTGCCTAAGCTGGCTCTGATGAAATGACAACGGTTGGGGATAGGCTCTTTGCAGCCTTCCTTCTGGCGTAGACATCCGGCCGCACTACTTGAGAGTTAAATGCCGAAGCAGGTGTATGAAGGATTGAAGTATTTGAGCGAAATATTGCTACAACGTGATGTCGTCAGAAATACATATATATATATATGTAGCGCTCTCGGCTTAATTGTACATGCGGGTTTTACGTCTTGTGCCCGGGCAGGTAGTATAGAAGCTTCTGACAAACATGAACCCCAAACAACTGCAAAGACTTCATTGACATGGGAGCTCTCCCATGGCATAAGCGCCACCTGTCTCCGTATCGTTTTGTTTGAGACATATATGGAGGCCGTTTCTGTTTTCTGTATCTTTTGTAAGGCTATAGCACTAAGTCACTACGTGTTGTACTACAAGTGGACACTATGTAGTCGTACGGTGTCGTACATACGGATACTAGGCTGTTCAGATTCCTTTGCCGATTCTTTTGGTTACACAGGCTCTTCGATTAAACACAACGGCCTGATTCGGGTTGTACAAAACTTAAACTCTTGAGCAGATTATGCTCCTACGTAGATAACAATCTGCAATTAATGCTATAGTTCACCCCTTGCACAGCATCTGCCTGTCGGGCTCTTACACCTCAAATTTTCGTGGCTCTCGCATGTCTTCACTTCACACACAGGTTTTCGAGTGACTTTTTGGAGGCCAGAGCGGCCTCGAACCTGATCGCCGAGACCTTGTGCCCTGCACGCGCCTGGCAAGCCGACGGTATCTATTCTCAGTAATAACGAGAAGCTTCCCAGCAAGCCCTGTACTCAAACCCTAGGCACGTCCAAGCCAAGGCTCACTTACAGTAGGGCTCATCCAGCTGGTTCTTCTTGCAGCTGGCATGCTTTGGGCACGTGACGGCTGCACCTGGGTTCAAGCACTGTGGGGCAAACGGCTCCATCGCTCAGGCATCTCAGAGCTTCGGAAGGGATTGTTGCAGAATAGGTGTTTCTGGTTGTGGCTTGAACCGCTGAAGGTTCAGAACTACTCCGGACTTCAAGCCCGAACTGCAGGGCTCTGCCGGAAAACTCTACGAACCTGAGCCCTAGCAAGCCGTGAGTGTCTTGCCTTTCTGTTTAAGGGAAGTGATCCCGGTGAGAGACTGAAACCTTAGAGCACTGGAAAACTGTCCAAATTCCTCGAAGCTCTGTCCAGCTTGAGCCATGGGGCAGGGATTGTAAGGTTCGGTTCCTGCTTCGGGGTGCGACGAGTCGTACGCTTCCCGCTTCGCGGCGTCACTGAGGATAGCCTCAGGATCAAAGCTCACGAAGCTATCGGTGGTGAGCTTTCATCCAGCAGGAGGAGCTGAACACAAACAGGACAGGATGACATTCCCAAGCCTGTTCGGTTTGGGGGCAGGCAGATGAAACACTTGTGCGGGTTCCCAGCTGATAGACGATCCAAAGCTTTAGTCCTTGAGATATCCTGGATGCTAGAACTAGTATCAGTAGCGACTGTCACGAAGCTCGAAATAGATCTCCGGCTACTGTAATCTCACGAAGCTTGAAGCTGCTGCCCGAGCATCCCAGGCGGCTTCGAGATCTTTGAACTTCGCCTGCCGTGATCGCAACTTCCTTCTATCTAGGAACGCAAGCCCTAGCAGTGAGTGGTATTATCCCCAAACAGTCACAGAGTGGTGTGAGTGCATGCCCCGAAGATACCGAAGCACGACGACCACCACATGGACCACAAGACGACCAAGACAAACATGAGCACCATGAAACTGGAGGCGGGATGGCAGGCGCGCCAGGACCCTCGACATTTGGAGCAGCCTGGTGGCGGAAGCCTAATGAGGCACATGTCTTGTAATTTACAGTCCAGAACGATTCAGGCATTCCCGGCAAGGGTGCCTGAGCGGGACTTTGGAAATAGCCCGGGCTTTCGTCCAACATGTGCACCGTGCCACAGCGGGAGCCGCGGAACCGCCGGGCTTCACTCTGAGCAATACATCCACCCTGAACGCAAAAGTGTTACCACACGGGTTGGGGAACAGACAGGATCCTGCTCTGCAGTATAGTATAACCGCACGATTGGCAAACAACGCCGCGGAAAACAGGGACAGAACTTTCTCCCTGAACATGTCCAAATCCATTATCTTACTCACTCAACTGGCGAAGCTGAGGACTAACTGTGGGAGCCTTTTTCCTAGCTCAAAGCCTTTGATGCAACTTCACCCGCAAATTCAAGTGCTTCAAACAACACCCGAAAAAATAGGAATAGTTCTCCGCGCTCTTGCTTTAGTCTGCTCAATCCCTGGAACCGTTAAGTTAGAGGTGCCTCAGCTTCTCCTTCGTTGCCGAAGTTGCGGTCCTCTTGGGGATTTCGATGTTAACTCATTCCAGGGTTTGGGTATAGGGCAGTGCTGCTTCGCAAGATAAAGTGCTACGCAGGGCTACATGAAGACGTTTCGCAGGGAATCTCGGCTTGGCTGCTTCCTCCAGGTGTTTTTGGGCTTCTGGCAAGGCTTTGAGGCGAGCGGGGCTCCGTGCTTGAAGAGCCAGCTGGTGTCATTGCACATTGCTCACCTTCAGATCCTCCAGAACAAAATGGATCTGCTGCCGGGCTTGCCAATGCTCTGGAATCTCCGATGCCCCGCAACACTGGAGAGGTACAGTAGAAGTCCTAGTTCTCGAACTTTGCAGCCGTCAGGTTGCAGCTCACGAACCAATTGCTTTGACGAGCAATAATTAGTATTCTTGTGGCTGGCGGTGTTCCAACTGTAGAGGGTTGATCGTTCAGGCTTGTAGAGTTTAGACTTAGCACTAACTTCTCGTAAGATTTCCGCAGTTCAGGGCTTGGGATGTCTGCCCGCAATTTTTTAAGTCGAATCCCGAGTCGCTACATCTACCTCGCACACGAACCCTTCAATTTCGGGATATGATATACGGCTCGGTTTTGATAACTTTAGCCTCGAGATGGCACCACGCAAAACTTCCGATACGGTGAACACTCTAATCCAATCCCCGGGGCTGCAAAGACTAAAATCCTAACATGGGTAAGCAGTAGATCTTGTCTCGACAAACCCTGATGCATTTGTTGAAAGCCTGCGCATGAACCTGCTGGTGACTCCTGGCTCTCGACACGGGGAGTGTGCAACTTCCCAGACCCCGGAGCAAAGAGAAATTGCATCTTCCCAAGCTCTTGTGGACACATAAACTTCACCTTGAAAGCCCAAAGCTGGCAACAAATTCCAATCCCTGACCCCTTAACAAACCCACACAACCCTCACCCCTCAGCTCCGGATGGTACTTCATGGCCAGCTTGTGATAAGACCTCTTCATCTCCCCCGTGGATGCGAATCGGCTGACCTTTCGGAGCAAACTTGGGCGACTTCAGAACAAGTAATCATGCCTCAAACGCTTGAGGGCAGATCTCACTCTAAGCCTTGAGGATTGGGGGCTGTAGGGACCGCTTCGAAAAGCAACCCATACACATCAGAGTTGTACCATCGTCGCTCTCTTGTCGCACGGAGATATCAAGCGTTCTTCGTATGATGATTTCATGAACGGGACCGTCTGTGTCTGCGGAGGCTTTGGCCATGATGTCGGAAATTGGGATTGCATTGCGCACCCGCTTTTCCAGCGTGCGCTCTTGTCACAAGCCGTCGACACCTTATGCCGTCAGAAAGGCTGCTTTTGATGGCAGCACATCGGATCTCGTGGTGCCCCCTCGCGCCGAGCAACGTTGCCGGCCTCAGCCTTCCAATGTCTCTCAAAAGCACCCGCGATTCCGTGGCGGCCAGTGCCCCTGACAAAGCGGCCTTCGCCAAAGGGCCTAGCACTCGATCCAACGTGCTGTGGACCAAGGTTCGACATGCAAATGCACGGACGATTTATACACACTGGCAACTGCCCGTGTGGATTATCAGCTCTCCTCGAACTCAAATATTAACGTGCAGTGCCAAAGATTTGGCAGTCTCAGCCCCAAATCCGAAACACCAAGCTCCGAGAGCTCCAAACAAACGATCGATTCCAGACCTTTCACAATTGGGTCCAGGGGAACCAGCCCCCACCCAATCTTGCAAAACCCCTTTTGTGTAACGGAGGGTTGTAATGGATTTCGGCCAGGGTGCTGAAGATCCATTCTCTCTGAGAGGAGGGGATGGGCTTTCAAAGCTCCCCAAATACAAACCTGCTTGGCTTTTGCATGACTTTTTTTTGGCCGGGCTGAAGAACCCAAACCTTGGGTCCAAGTTTGAGCTTGGCTTTTTCTGTTCCGACCAAGCCCGACCGACTCCTACCTTAGGAGTTTGCTCGACTTTACAGTCCCTTTGTTTCAAGAACCAGAGCCCAGTTGGGTTCGGGTGGGGGTTCCCACCGTGAATCCCTTGATTGCCATTGAAAAAAACCTTGACGTTGTAGGTTGGTGCTCCGAACCTCAATATTTTGAGAATCGCTGCCAGGAACAGCAAGCCACGAGCGCCACGGTGTTTTGACGGTCTGATACTATAGCTCTTGATCTCGCGTGACATTATCAGAATCATTATCAGCTTCAGCGACCACCTGGGTTCTTTTGACATATGGTTGCGAGTCCAAGGTTGCGGCATTCAGGAGCTGGTAGTGATCAGGAGATATTCGCGACGCTGTCTGCCTCATCGAATCCTCACGTGGGGAACAGGCATTCGATCTCGGGATCCTAGGACGTTGCTGCTTCAGCATGGAAGCTGGAGCCTCGGAGTGAACTCTTTGGGCCCTTCTTGCAAGGTCGAGGCGCAAGAAATGCTATGGCTCGGATGGGTTTCAGCCGAGCGCGACTTCGAAGGAGGGTAGATTGGGGCTTCGCTTCGACCTGGATTCTGCCAAACAACGCAAGCCCCCTTCGCTTGAAACAACCGTCTACAACACGGCTCGCCGAGTCGGGATCTGGTTTTGGAGATCTTTGCATACATGAAGGTCTGAGCTTCCTTCTTTCGGGTTCCAAGGCGGAGTCGGTTTTGAATTCCGCCTGACAAGAGACCACTAATGTCCCGAAACCAGGGGCTAAGCCCGAAATGCAACCGAACAGGACAGCTGCATCAAGACCCACTCAGTCGAATTATCGTACACACGGGCTTGAGGCCCACAGTTTGAAGCCTGAACCGCCCCCGAAACCCATAAGCTTAAACCCGTACGCCCCAACACCTCCAAGCCCCACAATCACCCGGGGAGCGGAGCGGACATCCCCTGCCAGGTCCTGTTGTACCGGCTCCAACTTCTCAGCCTGAGCGGCTCAACATCTGAGAGGCTCACTTGTTAAGGCTTTGAGTTTAGGGCTTTAGCGCGCTTTTTAGACGTTTGGTTTCAGGGGGGGGCTGCTCTATGCGTAGGGTGTTTTCTCCACTCGTTCTCGCCAGTCCCGTACCCGCTCGCTCGTGGTGATGCGTTTCGGCACCTCGGGGACGTCTTGCGCCTCTCGGCGCAGGACTGCCCTCGTGGTGGCGCATCCGCTTCGCGGACCTGGCAGCCTCTTTTGCGGAAGCGCCTCCAAGTCTCCACAATGCTGCCGTATACGCGTAGTAAATGTGAGTCCGCCGCACGTGCGCAGAGCCGTGTCTTTCGTCTCGGGCGAGGAACCCTAGAACACGCAGTCAGCTCTGCATCGACCCAGGATGCAGCTGACAGTATTCTTCAACGTTTTACGCCGGGTCCTGCCGCCCCCACTCTGATTGCTGACTGTGGCCACCGAAGTTTTCACCTTACTGCGCTCTCCGTCTGCGTGCGCCGTCACGTCCGGCGCCCATGGCTGTCTAGGCTAAAGCAAGCCAACGACATTCCGCTGAAACCCCTTTCCTGACGTGGATGCCTGCAGGTTGAAACACAGCTTTTTTACGCTAGGTTTCGTTGAATTATCACATTGCAAAACCAGTCTTTGCATGACTTGGGGGCTTCGGGTTTCCGGTTGACGAGGATGTAGCGTGAGCAGGTTCTGATGCTCAAGGCGATTTTGGATGCGATGTTGGATTTTAGGTCAGGGATGCAGCTCCGTCACGCCCTGAACATATCTCTACGCAACACCATGAAGCGTATGACACGTTGTCGTGCAAGCGTCGATGAACAGCTTCCGCAGGCTTGGCTCAGAGCATACGGTGCTGTATGTTCACTCGGCTTCGGGCCCCGCAAGATACGCTCACATCTCCAATAAAAGCCATCGCCTAATGCCTAGGTACTCGTAACTTGAGGATTTTGCGCAGCCTCGCCCTCGCAACGCCACAATTACGGAGAACAACCCAAACCTCATGGAACCGCAGCATCAACGGGTTCCAACATGTGCACTTTCAGGGCCGTGACCGGGCCCTGTCCGTGTAAACACCGCAAGATATCCTGGATGCTTTGTTGAGGCTTCACAATTGAACACCCAATACTGCACTTCAGCCTCACGAGATTACCGGAATTCTTGCTGCAGGTCGTCCCCCTCCCTGATGCCTGTAGCATCTGAGAACCTTGCTGTAACCAAGGGTCCGTGCACAGACATATCGAAACCGAAGTCGTTTGGCATTAGGGTTCTAAGCCACAATCCATAAACCACCCAAAACAAGGAACAAATGGATTTTTTTGCCTTTGAATGATTCGGTGATAAGCCGCATAAGCCCCATTTCATCATGAACAACGATGTCAGCAAAGCGTGCATGAAACAAGCCTCACGCACGGCTGATGCAAGGATCGCGGAGAGGCTGAGCAACACCAGACGCATGAGAGCACCTGGGCTGTTGTTTCTGTCCAGTACCCCATATCTGCGCCAAAAACAAAGCACCCCCGGCACGCAAAAGCCTTGATCTCAGCAAACAACAATTTTGTTTCGAGACTCTGAGTTGAGAACTTGCCTAGAGGCTGCAGCCCTGTGTCGAGCCTTATGCGCGGTATCCTAGCGATTCCCATCGGTTTCATTTTGCGCCTCCGAAACTTCGGTAGTTTCTGCTAAAACTTGATTCAAGAGTTTTGCATTGAATATTAGAAAGACGAGATCGGGTGCGTTGCTATACGATCCGCGGCTGCTGCTTCTGCTTCTTCTTTGTTATGACCTATATAAGTGTTGCATGTTGTAGGCTGTGGAAACTATGACAAGCAGGATCGCAACGATGCCAATGCGGAATGAAATGACGACGACGGTCGTGATGACTATATTTTTGACGATGACTTGCGCGCTTTTTCTGCAATCCACAAGCAGCGGCCGTGGGTATAGGACGGAGACCACAGGCAACGATGACTAGCACATTTGCAAGTAGTAACATCAATGCTCGCTTTTGTGCTCGAGTAGCTCACGTTTTGGAGCTCATCTTTGCGGCTGCAGATAAGCGGCAAAATCTCGTACTCTCGGAATGAATAACAGAGTTCACAGGCTACGCTCTGCGGAGTGCTGAGCCCAGGCATGCAGGAGCGCCATGCTTGCAAGCTTCATGCAGTGACCTCGATAGGATCGAGGCTTGCCACTCCGGGGGCCAGTGGTCGGCAGTGCAAAGTACCGAGAATATAGCCCTTTATCAAAAAATCCTGTCATATGCAAACTCAAAGTCTGACCATGCACGCTTTTTCGCGTCGAAGTAACATGTCTCTGTACGCATCTTGTTTGATCGCAAAGTCAGCCATGCAGACTGGATGCCAGCAAACTCCGTCGTCCCTCCTGCTTTGCGGATGACCACAACCCGAGTTTTGAACAACCGCACAGGAAGAGTGCCTCTGAAAGGAGATGTGCAGAAGGGCGTAATCTTTTTATGTGCGGTCGCTGAATGGTCAGCGAAAACAGTTGCCGGATGGTTCACCGCACAGCATGTTGAAAAAATTTCATTGGTGGCCTCATCGTCGGACTACCGATGGCCTAAAGCTGGGATCAGCGCCAGCTCCAGCCTTATTTTCTGCATCCATGATTCCACGATCCCGACCAGCTCCACCAGGACCAGTCGTTGACACGGCGGGAGGTCCATGACCAGTTGCAATCCTCGGCCTCGTCTCCCGATGGGCGTTGAGATGCGCTTGGTGTTTTGCCTTCGATTTTGCCGACTTTTGCCCTTGCTGCCCTTTCCCTTTTGTTCTTGGCCTGGAGGAAGGTGGGTAGGGTACTTAGGCTGAGCCTGGCGTGAACGCTCGGGCATCGCACTCAACCTCGACGGTAGCAGCTGAATATTCCAGGTCATCGGGGAGAATTGTGGGAGAGTTGCCACGGCAGCGGCATGCCCATTGCGGAGTTCAAGCTGTCCAGAGGTAAGCAAAAGAACTCCGGCATGTGTTTTGGCCACGTTCCTCACAAAGTCCTGAAAGCTGCGAATGGCCCCCCACCAAGTGAATGCGAAAGGTGCTGTTGGGAATTGCTTCAGGTCAGTTCGTTAGGAACACACAGAAATTTGCGGGGGTAAACATGATGTTTGATGGCAACGGCAGCTTCGGGATCTATCTCCCAGTAGTCTTCTGTTCTAGACGGCTTGGAGTCTCCTCCAGCTGCAACTGCCGCTTGCTTCTTGTCAAACACGTAGGCGAACGCATGAGAGCTACGATCAAGCTTTACTATGGTTTGCTCCCTGTGATGACAAAAAAAGTACCTTCCGAAAGGTTCCTCAGGATCCTGCTCGGGGTTGTAAAATATGTTCTGCCAGATATCTGGAAGGACAGGTATCCAGCCTAGCTAGCCGGAGCGGGCAAACAGGATCCCTATAACTGGACAATTCCTTCGGCCATCGATTCCTTGGGAGTCAAACCCATGTAGCAATTCCTTCGAGCTGCGCCTGCGTGTAGGCTTGGCATGCGTCGGCTTGCTGTTTTGCATGGTTGGCTACCGAATTTTGCCAGATTCCATGCTTGCGGGACTTTGCCCGAGTTCGGCAAAGATCGCACAATGATCCGCATTCTCATCTCGGACCTGATTGCCTTGAAAGACAGATCGCCCCTTGTACTTCCGCTGAGGATGGCTCTTAGGAAGCTCGGAGCCTCGGAGCCCTTGAGGCTGCAGATTTCGATATCCTACCGAAATGTGCTTCTCACCATGTCGTTTCACTTCGTTCTGGACATACTCTCTGACCTGGCTCTCAATCCAACAAGCCGTTGAAAGAAGTTTCTGCCAGCCCTTATCCATAGCCTCTTGAGCCTCAGGGATCTTAGCAACATCATTCTGGTGAATAACCTCGGCGACATGACAAGTGCAAAGAGATCCTCAGCAGTCTGCCCAAGCTTATCCAAGTACAGATTGCTGGCTGCCTCCACAGCCTGCTGGCACAGTGCTGCCAAGCAGGCATTGGTCGTGAATTCCTGGCCTTTGCCTAAAGAGTGCAGGGTGTGAATGGAGGATGTGTGGACTCACTACTGGTCCCTGTGTTTGCGTCCAGTTCGAGGACCCACTG